TGTCCCAGCCTTTACTTCAACTTGTGATTATTTGTCTTCTCCACTAAAAATTAGCTTTATTGGGCAAAAAGCCTCAGCTGTCCTGTTCACTGAAGTGTCACAGCATAGACACAGGGCCTGGCATCCATCAGGCACTCAAGCAGTCACTATCTGCTGAATGAATGGACAGGTTCCCACGGAGTTTCCTGAGTTGCCTGGGGTGTCACAGACAGGTTGCATCCCCCTTAATTAAACAAACAATATTGGCCAGGCACAGTGGCTCATGCCTGTAATTTCAGCAATCTGGGGGGCAGCGGTGGGAGGATTGCCTGAGCCCAGGAATTTGAGACCGGCACTGGCAACATAGCAATATCTTGTCTCTAGTTAGACATGGTGGCCTGCACCTGTGGTCCCAGCTACTTGGGAAGCTGAGGCGGGAGGAAGAGGCTGCAGCGAGCCAGGGTCATGCCACTGGACTCCAGCCTGGGCGACAAAGTGATAGCTTATCTCAAAAAACAAACAAAAAAAACCAGAAACAAACCTGGGAATGGACCGAACAGTATTTCAAGATCTCCTCCTACCATTGGAATTAACCTGTTGGTTGCTTGTACTAGCATGTGGCAACCAGTCTTAGCCGAGTTTTAGTAGATCCCTGTTTGGTGTTACCCAATAGAGCAGACCACTCGGCCCTCAGCCACCGAATAAGTTTAAGAAACAGAGGTGTGGCGTGCTTATTTCTACAGGTAGGCAGGCTGAGGCTGGGGAGCCGCTCCTGGCTGTCCCTGGAAACGCCTCTTAACCCACAAGAATCGTCCCAGCCATCTCCTTTTTTTTTTTTTTTTTATTTTTTTTGAGACAGAGTTTCACTCTTGTTACCCAGGCTGGAGTGCAATGGCGCGATCTCGGCTCACCGTAACCTCCGCCTCCTAGGTTCAGGCAATTCTCCTGCCTCAGCCTCCTGAGTAGCTGGGATTACAGGCACGCGCCACCATGCCCAGCTAATTTTTTGCATTTTTAGTAGAGACGGGGTTTCACCATGTTGACCAGGATGGTCTCGATCTCTTGACCTCGTGATCCACCCGCCTCGGCCTCCCAAAGTGCTGGGATTACAGGCTTGAGCCACCGCGCCCGGCCCCAGCCATCTCTTTAGCGTAAATGTGAGGAACAAATCTCAGCCAGCATTCAAAGAGGGGAGCCACCCCTAGCTGTCCCTGGAAACACCCCTACCCCACGAGAATCGTCCCAGCCGCCTCTTTAGCGTAAAGGTGAGGAACAAATCTCAGCCACGATCCAAAGAAAGCTTGGTATTTTTAGCACCAAAGCTAGAAAGAGCATGTCCTTACTCTTCGGTTTGCAAAGAAATAAAAACCATTTCCCCTTCCTTCTTTTGAAGACTACCCCCGCCCCCAGCCTCCAAAGCCCGGTAGGAACGCTTTCTATCTCCACCACAGCCATTTTCCTAATCCTTCGCCGGCTCTCCACGGTCACCCAGTGTATCCCTCGAGACGCCGCCTCCCACAGCTCGTGCTTCTCCCAGGTTCGGCTCCGACAAGGCCAGAGCGGCGTCTGCGCAGCGCAAAGGCTCAGAGCGCTCCCGGCGGCCACAAGTGCCCGGCCCTGGGCCAGGCCAGGCCAGGCCTGCGCCGCGCACCCCACTGGGAGGGCGCGGACCCCACTGGGAGGGCGCGGACCCGGGCCGCCCCGAGCCTCCGGCGCCGCCCAGAGCGGGACAAAGGGGCGGGCCGGCGACCCGGCCTCGCGGTCTCCGGTGCCGCGCGGGCCGGGAGGCGGGGCGAGCCGGCGGGGGAGGGGCGAGCGGCGGGGGAGGGGCGAGCGGCGGGGGAGGGGCGAGCGGCGGGGGAGGGGCGAGCGGCGGGGGAGGGGCGGGGCCAGGGCGGGCCCAGGCGCGCGGGGCTGCACCGGGCGGCGCAGGGTAGCGGCGCCCCTTCCCTCCTCAACCGGCAGGCGCCGCGCCCCCGGCCCCGCCCCTTCGCGCCCCGCCCCCGCCGCTCGGACGGCCCGAGTCGCGCCCTCCCGCCCCGCGCCGCCGAACTTGCTCTAACTTCCTCGGCCGAGCCGGGCCGCGCCGCTGCTGCAGCCGCCGTGCGCGGGTGAGTAGAGCGCGGAGCCTGGGCTGGGGCGTCGGGCCCTGCCTCCTTCTTTGTCTGAGGCAGACTCCCCTGGGCGTCCTCCGGGGGCGAGGGCTGCTCCCCCAGGTCCCCGCTTGGTCCCTCAGCCTCCTTCCCTGCCTGCCCGGGGGCGGCCCCGCGGGTGGCGCTGGCTTTGTCTGCCAGGATCGCTCGCTTGAGGTTGGAGGCCTCGGCGGGGACCCAGCTGAGCCGAACTTCGGCGCCGTGCGGGCGAGAGCCGCGGCGGGCCCGGGGCTGGCGCTCCGGGTTCGGCAGCCCTCGCCCCATCCGCGCGCTCCGGCGAGTGCGCGCCCGGGCCGGGCGGGGTGGGAGCGCCGGGGAGCCTGGACTGCCGCTGCCTCTCGGGGCTCTCCTGCTCCTCGTCCACAGCAGCGAGCTCGGGGATGGGCGCTCCTTTCGGCTCTGTCACCCACCCTCGGCCCCCCGGAGCTCAGGTTCGGGGTCGGGGTGGGCGTAGGCCGGGGCGGGCCGCCCCTTCCTCCTGCCCCGCCGTGGTTGTGCTCAGTCGCTCTCGCCGCGGTGGGTCCCACTCTTCCCGGCTTGGGTTTGGGGCGGCCGGAGACTGAGTAGGCGGCGACCCACCTTCTCCGTGTTAGTCGTGTGGGGTTGTGCCTGGGAGCAAAGCCTGACCCCCTGACCTGGCCGGAGTTCTGGTAGAGTGGGAGTTTGTGGGTGCGGAGTGTGCTGGTCCCCGGCTGCTGCTGCTTCTCCTCCGCGCACAGGGGTGGGGTGCGGGTGGGTAGGAAGTGCCTGTGTGAGGGTGTGTGGAGGGACTTTGGCCTTGGGACGGCTGGAGCGCTTGTGTTGGGGACTTAAAGTTGGTCTCCGGCGAGAAGCGGTCCATGCCAGGGAAAGTTGGGGGAAGTCGTGGGCCCGGGTACTGGCCTGGCTCTGGGCGTGGAGCGGTGGTGAGTGCGGCGGTGTCACACGTTTCTTGGCTGTCCCGGCGCTGCTAACTGGGCAGTCAGGCGGTCTTGGGCGGCAGTGCAGGGCACTGTATTGGATCCTCTGCAGGTGTGCTCTTGGCAGTGGTCTGCTCTCCAGGGGATCTTCCTCCCTTCTGAGAGGGCGTTGCTCTTGGGCTAGTGAGAGAGTGGGCTGCCAGATCCTCAAAAGTAGCCTTCCCCTCGCCCCTTGACCTTGAAGTCTAGAAGCAGTTAGTGCCTGCTGAGTGCTCCGGCCACCCTTAGCTACCCGTGTCATCAATAGCCTCAAATTGCTGGGCTCAAGTGATCCTCCAACCTCAGCCTCCCAAAGCAAAGGGATTACAGGTGTGAGCCACCATGCGCAGTCTGATCCCCGCCCGATCCTTAACGTTATAGTGACAGGCCGTGGAAACCCAGGCCACCAGATGTATTTTCCCTTTCCTTCTCATTGTGTTGCACCCCAACTTTAGTTGGAGACTTTCTGGATATATCCATCCCCGCATCTCTGAACTCCACAGCTTGGAGCACCTAATGTGATCCTCAATTTACTTAACAAAGCATGGTTAAGATTCTGTGGGATGCCAGGCATTGTTTGCAGGCATTGTTCCAAGTCTGGAAAGTCCCTCACCAGCCGTATACTCCATGTGGTCTTAGAACCCAGGCTGGACGTGGAGTAGGTGCTCAGTAGTGTTTATTGATCTGAGCCTGATCTCAGCATAGCAGGATCATTCAGGGAGACGGGGGAGCTGAGCCCGTGGGTGCTTCTGTAGGTTTGTGGTTGTCCCAGGAAGAAAGGGTATGGAGGGGCTGTGGGCTGCAGAATGGTTGGCTGCCCAGGTAAGTGTTCCCCGTCACCAGCTGGGCTAGTTTCTGAGGACTGGTGAGGGTGTCTCCCTTCCCATGTGGGAAGTGGCAGGACGAAGTTAATGCTTTGTGTGTGGGAGGAGATGGCCTTGCCCTGAAGGTTGTGGTGTTAGTGAAGCTCCCATGGAGGCCAGGGAGCAGGAAAGCCCTGGGTTCTGTAACTATTTCCTGAGGCCTCACTCTAGGCCACCATGTGCTCAGAGATTTGACCTGTTTAACTTGAACTGAGGCAGAATTCCTTTTGGCAGTGTCTACAAAGTGCCATTGTGCCAGGCCTGGGAATCCTTTGCTGGTTTAAAATCTTGTGAAGGACAAGATTATAGCAGTTATGTGGAAAGTTTCATAGTGATAGTGAGTTTATTGAGACTTACACCCTAGTAGCTTGATTTATAATAACTCATTTAATCCTTGAAAACAGCCGTGATGGCTGGGCACCATGGCTTATGCCTGTAACACCAGCACTTTGGGAAGCTGAGGTGGGTAGATTCCTGAGGTCAGGAGTTGGAGACTAGCCTGATCAACAGAGTGAAACCCTATCTCTACTAAAAATACAAAATTTAAGCCTGGTGGTGGCGTATGCCTGTAATCCCAGCTACTTGGGAGGCTGAGGCAAGAGAATCGCTTGAACCTGGAAGGTGGAAGGTGCCATGAGCCTAGATTGTGCCATTGTACTCCAGCCTGGGCAACAAGAGCAAGACTCCGTCTCAAAAAAAGAAAAGAAAGAAAACAACTGTGATGTCTGTCAACAGCTCCATTTTTACAGAGGAGGAAACTGTGGTCCCAAGAGGTCACAGACAGAGTAACTTGCTTGAGGTCTCAATATGAGCTGGATTTTCTCATTTCTTTTATTTTTATACTGATTCTTACTCTGTTACCCAGGCTGGAGTGAAGTGGTTTGATCTTGGCTCACTGCAACCACCGCCTTCTGGGTTCAAGTGATTCTCCTGCCTCAGCCTCCCAAGTAGCTGGGACTACAGGCACATGCTATCATGCCTGGCTAATTTTTGTATTTTTAGTAGAGACAGGGTTTCACCATGTTGGCCAGGCTGGTCTCGATCTCCTGACCTCAAGTGATCCACCCGCCTCGGCCTCCTAAAGTACTGGGATTACAGGCATGAGCCACCGTGCCTGGGCAGGTTTTCTCATTTCGAATTTGGTCAGTACCTTCCTCTCAGAGGTGATTAAAATGGATTCATATACCAAACAAGACTGGCTCACAGTGGAACTAATGAGTCTTTTCAGTGAAGGTGCCCTTGTATCCCTGCTTCTGAACACATCTCATCTGTCCAGCACAGCCTGGGCAGTTACCCTGGAACCCCTGCTGATTGACTGGTGATGTAGCTTCTGTCTCCCTAAGGCCAGGGAATGGGAAGACAGCACTGCCACATGGAGAAGACTGGGGAGTCACTGCCTGTGTCTGTCTGGAGATATCATGGTTTACTGTGGTAATAGCAATCCTCAGGTCTCAGAGGCTTAAAGCAACAGATGTATATCTTGTTCATGCTGTATATCCATCACTTATTGCTTTATGTTGTCCGCACTGGGGGACCCATAGTGATTAGTGGGAACATCCCTGTTGCTTGGACAGAGGGACAGAGCATGATGATCTCTGTTTCCTGCCACTGAGGCCTGGTGGCCTTTAAAATGCCTATGGGGAGGGAATTAGGCTCCTGCTGCCTGTTTCTGTCCTGCCTTGTCAGTCCTTGGACATCTTGCGTGGTCCATCCCCTACCTGGATGTGGCCTGTAGGGACAGCCACCTTTCCTAGAAGCAAGAGCAGGTAGCGATACCCCTGGTAGGGGTGTGGAAAGGAGTGGTGGTGAGGTGACTGAAGGTAGACTCCCACTGGGGACGGGATTGAGTGTGGGGCTAGATCCCTGGCTTGTAGAAAGGAGTAGGAACCCTCTGTGAGTTACATTTTCCCCCTCAGCCCACCTTAACAGGATTTTAAAGAGCCAGCCGCACTGTGACTCTTGCGTTTGTGCCTGGTCACTTGCTTGGTCTCTGGTGACTTCCCTTGGGGCCAGCAGACACCGGTGGAGGTGATGAGGCCTCGGGTTCTTTCGCCTCATGGTTAACTAACTCTCCTTAGGCATATTTCCACCTTTTCCAGGGCCTCTGTTTCTTTGCCAGTGGAGTGAGAGGTGGTGGTGTCTCCAGCAGTGGTCCCACTCTTGGTGGGCCATCAGAGTACCCAGGGAGCTACATAGAATGAAGTTTTGAGAGTCTTTGGTCTAGGAGGATGCCAGCGTTTCAGTTTGCTTATCTTCCCTTGTAGCAATATCAGGCAGGTTATTCATAGTATCTCCCCATTCATTTTCTCCCTTAACTGCAGATGCTTTCAGTTTAGACAGAGCATGTGGCCATGTTGGTCGAGCACAGGCCCTGGCAGGGGGGCAGCATCTAGTGCCTCTGCCAATGAAATGCGAAGATGTGAAGATGAATAACACTGTCCAGCTTGCAGAGTGGACGCTGGTGAGGCAAGCTTTCAAGTTGCATCTACTTTCTAGTTGAATGACCTACACAAGTCTTGGATTTTTTTTTCTCCTGCAAAAAAAAAAAAAAAAAGTTGTCTAATTTTCTCATCTGTAAAGTGAGAAGAGTCAAGTCTGCCTTTCCTGTCTCACGGGGTTGCAGTGAAGCATGAGTACACTGAGAAGCAGGATCCAAAGCCCCTGAGTTAGGCCTGACACCGGTGTGAGACAGCTGCCATCTCTGGCGGCTCTCAGCAAGTGCTCACCAGCAGCTGATTCTGGAAACCCCACTTCCTGCACTCTTGGGCTTGGTGGGGTTGGGTAGGGTTGGGTGGGGCTGTGGTTTTCTTTTAGGAGGCAGCAGGCCAGGCCTGGAGACCAGAGCTTAAGTGGGTCTGGGCAGGCTGGAGTTGAAACTCTTCACCTCTTGAGGTCTGTTCTGCCTCCCTAGCTGAGAGGCCAGGGAGAAGGCCAAGAGCCTGTGCCTTTCAGCTAGATAGTTAAAGGGACTGGCTCCTCCCTCCTTAAGCTATGCTGGCCTGAGCTGGGAGCCTGAGAGCCGGGGTAGTTGTCTTTAAAGAGGCTTCTGGGATTCTAGTAAGAGATGAGCTCCCGGTGCTGCCTCAGAGTCTGTGTTCCCTGGCATTTGGGAGAGCTGAAGTTGGGCTGTCCTGAATGAGTAAAGCTTGGGGAGGGGGCTGGGACAAGGGGCTAGTGAACCTTCTCTGAGTTTTTACTGTCCATGCCGGCCACCTGTTGGGGCCTGTGTTCCTATATACTGCATGGCCTTGAGAGGAATTTGTAGTCCTAATATCCAGGAGAGGAGCCCTACAGCAGTGGAAGGAAATAGGTCTCTCCCAAATCTCTTTTGCCTGTACCTCAAGGTCTGAGTGGTGATCCTGGGGATGCGGCGGGACTCCCAGCAGTAGGAGTTTGCCTGTCCCCAATCTGGGTGTACCAGCTGTGCTGGGGTCCTCTCCTTTGTCCCCGACTAAGCCCCAGGCAGACAGGATCTGTTTCTGAGGCTTGGTCAGCAGGTCAGCTACAGCCCCAGACCAAGTAGTTTACACCCTCTTGAGTGAGGAGTAGAAGCAATGGGTCCAGGAAGACTTAGGGAGCTGGCTAAAGAAAAAATTATTCTGACACTTGTTCACTGGTAAGGTAGACTGTATTCAGAACTGTTCCAATAAGTGTAGGTGTTATCGCAATGGGATTTTGCAGTAGGGGAGAGAGAGTGGCCCCAACTCCAAATATAACAAAGATAAGTGAAAACTTATAGCCAAGGAGCAGAGTGTGGGGGCTCCTGAAAATTCCTAAGAGGGTAGGGAAATTTTTACTAAACTTACCTACCTGAATTCTTGTTGAAGGCAGGCCAGGGTGATCAGATTTTACCTGGGAGAGAGTAGAGGATGAGAAAAGTGTGATCAGATATCCAGGGTGATTAGAAGTTGAGGGTGGGGGATTTTGGTTTTTGCTAAAACTAGGCTCTGTGAGAATGGAGCTAGGTGCCGTAGGTCAGGCTCAGGTGAGCAGAGGGCTCAGAGGAATAAAGTTTGGTGAGGGACAGGATCTTTGTCAGTATCCCATCGCTGGCAGTGTCCTGTCCATCCTTCTTGCACTGGCCTGCCCCTCAGGAGACAGGTGTGAGTGGTTCTGAGCTTAGGGCAGTGCAAGATAAGGGACAGTTTTCTCTTTTTATAGGTGCCCCTTCTTGTGTCACACTCTTTTTTTCCCAGAAACCTTGGTCCTTTTCAGCATCTGCTGAAAGGGACCTTGGCTCCCTTGCTCTTGGCCTGCTGGATTTCCCCTCTGCACCCAGGAAACCGCACGGACCTGGGTCCTCTTTTCCCTGCAGCCCACCGGTTTTGCCGCTTATGACAGCTGTCCCCCGCTAGCCTTCTATTGCCAAATCTGGTGGCTGTCTGACCACAGCCACTTTACTTAGGACTACTCTTTTTTTTTTGCCCCTGAAACTGAGTTCCTCCTGCTGCAATTTGTCTTGGGCAAACCAGTCTGACAACTTTGTGGTTCTCTATCCCGCCTCCCTGAGCCTGGGGACTGACTGTCCCATTTGTCTGAGCTTGGCAGAGGGAGGTGCTGTGGGGGATCTCTTCCTCTTGTCTGGACTGCACACTCCTGGGGCCCTCTAGCTGGAGCTCCTGGGCATTTTGCCCACGGGAGCTTTACCAGCTTCCTTCTGTCTGAAGCCTTTAGGTCCCTGCATCCAGTCTACCATGTTTTCCTCCTTGTCCATGAGTGAGGCGCCTCCTTTTCTCTCTGCCTTTCCTCTCTGCTTGATCAGACTCTGCCTCTCTTGAGGGCTGGCTCGCTCCAGCCTCCCCTGCACAGGTGACCCTGTTTGGTCTGCCTCCTTTTCTTGAGGCTGATCTTGTCTCAGCAGCCAGCTTTTCAGGAACCAGGCCCTTGCTGTTGTAAGGAAAACCTATCAGCTGTGGATAGGGCTTTCCCTCATTCCCAGCGGCTCAGTGTCCAGCTGCCACCCTTGCAGGGGAACAGTGATGGTGACAGAACCCTGCTCTTGGCAGCCATCCTGCTTGCCACGGTCATTGTGTTTTGTTACTCTAGCAGCTTCTTGTGAAATACAAGTGATGGTATAAATGCAGATAGGTTTTTGCGGGGGGCATGCCAAAATTAGAGTTGGTGGTAGTGGTGGGGGATTCATTCCCAAGGGCTCTCGGATGCTGAGAAAAGTGTGTGAGCAAAGAGAAGCAAGTGGCGTGTGCCCAGGGATGGGGTGGGGTGGGCAGGCTTAGTTGAGGGTTTCTCTGGCATAGGGTAGCCCTGAAGCTCCTCTTCAGGGCATGACTGATGAGGTGGTGAAGGCAGGTGCCAAGATTTGGTGTGTTGAGGACCAGTACCTACCTGGGGTAGGCTCTGCTCACTCCTGCAGAGAGACATTGGAGAGGGGCTGGCCTTAGTTTCACAGAGGGTTGTGGGATTCCAAGCAAGACCTGCTGAGGGGCTTACACTGAGCCACAGAGAATGAAATATGAGGGCTTCAAGTGCCAGTGTGTTTCTCACTGTTTAAGATCTCATTTGTGCCTTTTTATTTTTCTTGAGACAGGGTCTCACTTGTTGCCCAGGCTGGAGTGCAGTGGCCCAATCATAGCTCACTGCAGCCTCCGCCTTCTGAGCTCAAGAGATGCTCACCTCAGCCTTCTGAGTAGCAGGGACCACAAGCATGCATGCACCACCACACCCAGCTAATCTTTAAAATTTTTCTGTAGAGATTGGATCTTGCTATGTTGCCTAAGCTGGTATCAAACTCCTGGGCACTTCATTTGTGCTTCTTAATTCAGGGGCTACTTGTTGAACATATTTAACAGTCTTCAGAAAGCATCTTATTCTGTAAGGAGAACCAAACATACCCATTCCTCCTCTCTGACCTTCTTTTCCTGTGGTCTGGACATTCTTTGAGCTTGAGGTCATTAGGAGTTGTTTATTTCTGTCTGCTCTGGTGGTCTAGGGGGTGGGATGAGGTGGGATGGTATGTGATGTGATGTGGTGGGGTGGGGTGGGGTGGGGCAGGGCAGGGAAGTTATTCTACATAGATAGAGTTCTGTTCGTGAACCACTCCCTGCCATCCACATCTCTCACTCAGATGGTCTGGCCCGTCCTGGTTCTAATGGCCATTGTGTCATTCCCCTCAGCAGCAGGAGAGGCTGGAATGGTTTTTGTATTGTTCCTTAGGGGGAAAATCACTTGGAGGAAGTATATCAGTGCTTCTGAGTGCAGAGTATTTATTGACACGTCAGTTAAAGGAAGCTTTTAAACAACATACAGGTATCCCTTTAGTAAGGAATAAATCTACAAATGCATCTCACGACTCCATTTTGCAGCTTCCATTTCCTGGAAGGTACATGGAGTTGAGTGGTTAGGGAATGGGGTTTTGAGCTGGGATTTTGGAGAAACTGTTTTTAGACTGTCCTTGGAATTGGGCCAGGCCTAGAAATCTGTTGAAACAGCTTTCTTTAGCTGCTGAAACTGGGATGTGTTCATAGCACGAGAACCTCGAGCTCCACTGATGACTGAGTGGGGAGGGCTCAGAGGAGGGTCCCTGTGGAGGCCTGAGATGCCTGGGCATCAGCCCCCTCTCCTGCATCACTTACATTGCCTGAACCTTGGGGTCTTACAGTTTTATCATGCTTCATGACCTTGGCAGCAGATGGTCCTTGGAGTGGAATAACTTCAGCTTTCTTTTCTGCCTTTGTCAGAGTCTGCTCTTGCACTTCTTAGGAAAACTTCCTATTTTGGGACTTGGGGTGGAGTTGTAAGCAGGGAGCCCCATGAGTTGGTGTGTCTTTATCCCTGAGGCTGCCACTGCCTGATCCCCTCCTTCTCCTTGATTCCTTTCTCCTTCCTGTTACTCTGCCTCATTCTAGTGAGACACCAGAAGCTGCCTGCAGAGAGCTGCAGGTAAAATTGTGTGTCCAGCCACAAACTTTAGGTGTTTTAAATATTAAATTAGGTTTAACATTTTTATTTACAAAAATGTGTACGTGATGAAAAACACATAACAAAGATACACAGTGAAAACTCGTTTCTGTCCCTGACCCCTTCAGTTCTGCTCCCCTGAGGCCCCTGTCACCAGATGTTCAGTGCCTAGTCAAGTGTGTCTGTATTCCTCTCTTGTTTATTACCCCAGTGGTATACTAATTACATGCGTTGCACTTCCTGATTTTTACTGTAAAAATTTATCCCAGGATTGTTTCATTTCAGCACACACAGTTTAGTCCATTCTTTTTAACAGCAGCGCATGATTCTGCTGTACAGTGAATGATGACTCACTTTAGCAGCCCCCTATTGATGGATTTTGAGGTTGCTTTCAGTATTTTGTTTCTATAGGCTAAGTAGCAGGAGTGTCTTATGCATGTTGTACTTCTGTAGTGGAAATGACTAGATGTGGAGTTACCGTGTTAGGTATGTAAAAGGAAAAGAAACATGCGGCTTTGATTCCAAAGCGGGGAATGAAAGTTTATG